TTTTTGGGGAAAATTTAAAAAAATTGTTTGCTATCGATTTCATACTACATTTCTTAAACATCGTCACGCTTGGCTCGTTGAAATTTTACGACTTGGTTGTCATATTTCTAACGTATGCTTTCCTTATTAGCCAATTAAAATGCAGCGCGTCAATGGGATGGCAAAACGCGGGGCATAAATTATTACATCGCGCCACGATACACGCGAGGAGAAACTTATCACGAAACGGGGCGAAAGTGAAACCGCGATAGTAATTTAATTACTTTGGAACCATAATCGTCATTGTCGTCGTCCCGTGCGCGATGACGTACGCGACGGCAAGAACTACAATTTAATTTTTGACTTTACGACCCTCGCGCGCACCAGGGCGCGTTTTAAATCATTACGAAAGATTGCGGATTGTATTCTCCATCTTTTTTTTTTCGAAGTTACACAGATAGCGAAAGCGCGACCGTGTCCAAGCGATCGATTGCATAATTGTAATTGTGCAAGTACGATGTATTTTACGTTAAGACGCTTTTCCTCGCGTGTCCACACTCGCGACGGATGCACGTGTTTCCAATCGTAAATTTCACCGCGTATCTGCAGGCAAACGCCTCGCTCGCATCTATACCACTTTGCACGTTGCAATTTATGCGGGGTTCTTTCTTCTTTTTCCTTCTCCTTTTTTCTTCGGTCTCACGCTTGAATTTCAGAGCGTGCATTCCGACTGGATCGCCGTAAGACCGACACGATAAGGATTTCAGTCGGCGCGCGCGCACGCGGTAGAAATCGCCGCGTGCGCCTCCGCGTTTTCTCGCCGCGGCAACGATATTTCATGTTGCATACGCCTAAATTGCAAAACCATAGGTGGCGGAGAAGAGATAAGAGCAGATTACCGCCGGCTGCTGAGTGCACCGTGTAGATTGCTGATTGCACAAGGTAGAATCGACCGGAACCGTCTCGGTTTATAAACTCTAACAAATAATGATATACTGCGCGTGCACGAGTGCACATTTGTTAAGGGATTTGCCGCGTTTTGCTCCAATCGCCCAATTGGTCTGTCGAAATGTACGAAACAATATTTGTTTTCAGTCCCGTACGATACCAAATGTCGTTATATAATTCTCACAAATATTAGAGAAAGGTTTTTTGAATAAACGGTAATATGCGAGGACTCTTCAGTTGTTCAGACTTGGTCTTTTATCTACTGCAGAATAAATTCAAAAATTCGTAATCCTTGTCCTAATACGAATTTTGGTCAAGCATCATTTAAGCATTGTTAAACAAATTTGTCTTCCCGAGGTTTCTTGATTTCCTCACAATTCACCCACGGTATTTATTTTTTATTTTATTGAAAATTTTTTAAATATTTTACTTTATTTTTATTATTTAATTTTTTTCTTGTAATCGGCTTCCTTTGCGGCTTCCTTTGTGGTAATCACTGACTGCTGTGAAAGCGAACGATGTCGATTATCGCACGAAAGAAGATAATCATACAGCGGTGTAAGGAAGAGATGAAAAGTAATTAAATGTAGCATAGTTGGTGATTGATTTATTTTTATCTCAATAATACTTTCCATCGCTTCGACTAGGCGAGTTAAATCTTTGCTCGTGTCTGCTAAGGCAAAGTCCTTTGTGCGATAATAACTCGAT